ACGTACTTTGCCAGCCGTTTGCCCAGGTATTGGATGCCGCGCTCTGTCCTCACTGCGTTTCCAGGAAATCCCCTGACGATCACGTCTTCTTCATCATCTTCCTCGTTTTCGGTAGGATCTGTGCCGTTTGACGACTTCTTCCGTTTTCTGGCCTCCTCTCGGGCATGCTTTGCGGCAGCATCGATGCTCTCCTTGAGGTAGAGCATGTCAGCACCAAGATTACTATGGAGTCCATGTGTCACGAGAACAAAATGTATCTTCTTGCGTTTCTTTTTCGGTTGCTCCTGTTGGGAAGAAGAGACTTCCGCCGGCCGATCCGTGGCAGGGGCTGTGGTATTGCTCTTACTGCCACTACTGCCCTCTGCCGAAGAAGGAAATGGTGGCAGGTTCCATAGGCTGGCGGTGTCGTCTACCCGTAGCTTAATAGACTCTGAGTATACACCAGGTACTCTACCTGGCCGTTCATGCTTCTGCTGGTTCTTCGACGGCCCGGGTTTGGCATGGTCTCGAAGCTGGCCGGGAGGGGGCAAGTTGGCCATGGCGGGAGCACCCAGCTCGACAGAGGCAGCATCCCGGCCAACCAGAAGCTCGTACTGCACCGAGGCCGTGGAGGAGAAGATGATCTCTGACGATATGTCTATTATCCAGGTCACGCCCGTCGTAGTTGTCGTAGTAGAAGACCCAGCAGCTCCAGCTGGCGGAGACCGGACTCGTTCGGGTACTTTAATGACAGCATCCCAGGCTCCTCCCGGCTTCAGATTAGGCTCGAACTGCGGCAGGCCGTCAACTTCATGCTGGCCAAACTTGCGGTTGGGATCGAAGGCAGCTGGCCGACAGGAGACATGCAACGCATAGGGCCCGTGGAGGTATGCAGCACGCAGAGGAGTGGCCGCGGTATTCCGGAGCTTGACATACAGCTGTGAGGGCGTGGGCAGGATGCGGTCTGCAGAGGGCGTGTAGGTCAGGGTGTACCTACACAGAAACAAAGTCAGCAGCGTACACACGACGGCTTATGCGGTGGGCCAGCAAACCGCTTACCGAGCTACCTCGCCGACCTTGAGACTGCCGGCCTGGTGGACGAGCAGCATCTCCGCTGCCCGCCGGGTCTCAGCAGGAGGCACACTCCAGCCACGCAGGGTACGAAAGGTCGGATGAGCTTCAGGCGCAAGGGAGACGCCGCTGTCTGGGGTCTGCGAAAGCCGGTACGTCCGGGGAGTCACCAGCATCTGCTCGCGCACTCCTCTGTCTGCGGTTGAGCTCGTTTTCTCCGGCGGTTTTTGTTTCTGTTCGTCGTCGTCGTCGATTTGATAGTAAGTAACCAGTTGGGCCGGATAAGGTGAGGCTGAGTAACGGTATTACACGTATTGTATGACAAAGCAGGCGCCGAAAGTGACAATACGTGAATATCAATTACATCACGAGTTGGCAAAACTGGCGCTGCGAAAGTCGAATCTCAATCTGCCATTGAACGGCCTCGTCTGGCTCCTTCTCACGTCTGGCGGGCTGCTCGGGCAGCAGGATAATCCTCCCGTCGACGCAGACCCTCCGCCAGCGCTCGTCCGGCTCCGCCACCCGGATTCTGACGGCCTCGACGGCAGCGTAGGCGACCTCAGGCTGGTCGACATGCTTGCCTCCCGCGTACGCCAGCGCCATCAGCTCGCCGGCTCTCTCGGATGGGACAGGCCCGAAGTGGACTATCCGTAGCTGTTTCTCGAGCGGCGCTGAGGCCGGCGAGATGGTAAACCCCTTTTCGAGCTGCGAGGCCAGCGTCACCAGCACGTACATGTGGCATGGCCGGTCGACCACCTCTTCTTCCTCGCCGGCTCGGACAAGGACGAGCGAGCCTGAATAGCTGTGGGAGGCGCTCCCGTCGGCGGGCTGAAGCAGCTCCTGAGCGGCCATCTTGAACCTGTCGACGCCGAACCGCCGGTATGCTGCAGTATCGCTGTCTGCCACCAGCGAGGCATGCAGTCCCCAGCTCACGACCACCACCCCGTACACGTCTGCCCGCTGTCCCGCCGCTGCTACCGGCTCCCTCCCGCGTCCTTCGTCCGTCACGTACATCGATCCAGGCGGAAATCGCACACAAAAGGCCGGGAGGTCTGCGGGTGAGCCGCGGACCAGCCTCGACAGCCCCCAGGTCGAGTCGGCCAGCAGACCCGTAGAATTGGCCAGTCCGTTGCCCGTCCCCATTGGCACAAGGCAGACGACAGGCCGGACAAGCGTAGAGGCATCTGGAGCTTCGGCCAGCACGCGGATGAGGTCGACCAGGCCGCCGTCGCCGGACATCAGAATGATCGTCTGCTGGTTGCCGGCCAGCGCCTGCGGGAGGAAGACGGTCCTCGCCAGGCGGGTGATTGTCTCTGCCGACTCGGTCTCATGGACTGTATAGTCGCCCTCCGGCCGCAGCTGCGAGAGTAACGGCTTGACTGCCTGCTGGAGGAAAGACGAGGCCTTCTGGGTGCCGGACAGCGTCGAGACGATGACATGAAGCCGGACGCTGGCCGCGAGATGGGACGGCTGGGCGTGGCAGAAGGACGAGTATCCGGGCAAAGACGCAAGGCCGGACAGCTTCAGCGTCTCCAGACGAGCTGATTCGCCGTCTTCATCGTGCTGCAGGTAGAGCAGCCTGTCCTCGTCCTCGTCCTTGTTCTCGTTCTGTATGATGGCGATGATGCTGTCTGCCGGCACTGTCGAGCGCGCGTCCTGAGTCTGCCATTCGAAGTGATCCTGAGAGAAGCTGGCGGTAGAAGGGACCCCGTCTACTCGACCCTGAACTGCTTCGTCCATCCTGGTATATATATATTTTTTATGTCTTTCTTTGATGTTGATATAATACGTTGTTGGCGCTGAGATATAATTTATACTGATATCAACCAGCGTTGCGGCTGAAACCCCCACTCGTATATATAGATATATATATAAATCTCATGTCTATCATAACTATATATCTCGTAACCGTTTTATCTATAGGCATTCAATCATCAATAGACAAGGGGGATGGCAGCTAGTACTCGAGAGAACCGCCGACGTGCGACCAGAACTCCTGGACGAGCTCGCGCTGTCCCTGCCCCCCCGGCGCGCCCCTGACGGCCAGATACCGCCTCGAGTCGAGCTTTGCCTGCCACTGGCCCGGGTTGCCGTCGACCATGATGCCGCCGGCCTCAACCAGGATGATCCAGCCGGCGCAGACGTCCCAGGCCCAGCAGCCGCCTTCCCAGTAGAGATCCAGCACGCCCGAGGCCACGGCACACAGGTTCAAGGCAGCCGAGCCCATGCTGCGCATCGAATGCACCATCGCGCCGCCCTGCTCCTTGGACTTGCCCAGGCTCTCAAACGTACGCAGCTTGACCTCCCAGTTGGGCCCTGAGCGGTCTGAGCCCCATTCCACGGCCACCAGGGCACTGCTCAGTCCCATGAGCGGCTCGACATCCTCTCCCCGAAGCGGTAGTTTGCGAGTGCGGTTCATGAACGCCCCGCGGCCCTTGACAGCGCTGTAGAGCGTGCTGGTGAACGGATTGAAGACGACTCCCACGACGGGCTGCTGGCTGATGGCAAAGCCGAGCGAGATGCAGGCCGAGGGGAAGCCGTGGACAAAGTTGACGGTGCCGTCTATTGGGTCGACAACGAAGGTCGGCTCGTCTGTCAGTGGCTTTGACGGGTCGTACGTCTCTTCTCCCATGAACCTGATGCTCTTGTGATCAGTTATTGCCTGTTCTTGTTCCTGGTTATAGGGGGTCGTCGACGCACTGGTAGTGAGGGTACTTGGTACGCAGAGCCTCTGAGACGACGGCCTCGACAGCGCGGTCGGTCTCAGTCACCAGATCGGAGCCTGGCCTGCCGGTTAGTTCCTGATCTATATGCATACGAGAGCGAGAGCGTCTTCTTACTGTTCTTCTTGGAGCCAGCACCGTTGATGAGTGGGTGGGCGCTGGTGATCATCTCGCCCGCCTTGCTGGCCAGGTCGACCAGGAAGTCGTGGATCTCGGCCAGGTCGGGCGTCTCGGCCATCTTGACTGGCTGTCTGTCTTTCTATCTGTCTGTCTATCGAGATGGGCCTCAATTGATGATGGTAGCAAGAAGTCGATGGCGGAGGGAAGAAGAGCAGAAGAAGTGCTCTCTGCTTTGTGATGACGCCGGCCAAGATGTTTCTTTTCTTTTGCTGGGCATCAACTCAACCGCCATCTGCTCACTCACAGTCCTGAAATATTATTAGAACAGAGCCAGCAACGCCATGATATCCTGCAATCCGGGGCGACGCATTGGATATGTCCACCAGCATCTCACCAAGGGCATCGCAGGGCACCTTTCGAAGATGCCAGAGCTCGTAGACAGCCGCCTTGCAGTCAGTACTCGAGATGCTGCTGTATTTCACATACCAGGGACGTAAATCATCTCGCAGACAAAAGTGCGAGCAGCCTCATGAACGGACGACGGTATGCCATGTATATAATCCTTCTTGACTCGGCCGTCAGATAGCAGGACATCCTACCGTTGGGTGGGATCGTTGATCGTTGTCGAAGGCACACAGCCGCGAGACAACAGCCATTGGAAGAATGGACCCAGATGCGTGCGTAGTGCAAGAGATAGCAAAGGGATATGATTCTTACCCAGAAGAAAGAGATAGAGGAAGAAGAAGAAGAAGAAGAAGCAGAGGGAGAAGCACTGATTTAGGGGGTTGTTTTTATAGTAAACATTTGGTATCGAAGCTCCATCCTGTTAACAGGTCAGAAGCAAGAACCACCCCTTGATAGCCAGCCGGCCAACCAGCTATTAAGTGGTTATACGCCATAGGAGGGACTTGATAGTAGTAATTTAACTGAATATTCTCCATTTGCTCGGCCATCTCATAGTCAGTTGGTTAACGAGCAATCCCACAAAGTCGTGTCGAATTTTGCAACTAGGTAACTAACTAGTTCTCAAATTTCATGTTCAACTTCAACATTTGACCATAAGTAACCAAAGACAGAGACTTCCCATCAACACCAACATCGGCCAGGATGGGCATTCCACGTCTCAAAGGACATCTTCTACGGTATGAAGAAGCTGTCTGGCTGGGGAGAACAGCGCCGCAGGGCCAGGAAAATACCCGAAACATCACCTCCGTGGTCATCGATGGCCCTGCGCTGGTCTACCATGTCTACTACGGCCTCATGGCGGCCATGGAGCAGCATCTCAACCCGTTCTCAGCTCAGCCTGCTAGCGACGAGGTGAGCGTCGGGGTCATGAAGACGCTGCTCCATCTTCGCGCCATCGGCGTCACTGTGTATGTATTTATGTATCTGATCAATAACCAACTAGTTAGTTGTCTTTGCGAATTAACCAAATTTTAGAGAGAAAATCTATTTTGATGGAGCCCTCCCGCCGTCAAAGCGAAAAGTACGCCTGGAGAAGATGGCCAAACTCGCCTCGAAGCTGCAGCAGGCCTGTCAGGCAAAGAAGCACGGGTTCAAGAGTGGTACTGTGGCGGGAGGCCGGCCATCGCTTGATACCAAACTGTTCTTTAGTCGTCGCCTGGTGAATCCCAAATTCTACGGCTTGCCTGATAACCCACTCATGGTTGCTACCGTTGCCGAGGACTTGAAGTATCGGTGGAGCTGGCAAGCCATCGAGTGCTACCATGATCTCAACGACGCCGAAAAAGTCCATGGTTCCTTGTTCCCGTGGGCAGATATCACGGAAGTCGTCCTGGGCGAGGCGGATATCTTCTGTGCCGAAGCCGCAAGAGAACGAGGCTCTGCAGTGCTAACGGGAGATTCAGACCTTGTTATACATGATCTGGGATCTGATGGCTCTGTTGTGTTTTTGGAGTCCATCGAGATGTACGAGTTCCCGGATACAAATGAAAGCGAACTTAGACTTCCGTCCTTTGGTGTGCGAGCGAAGGAACTCCGTCCATCCAGGATCGCCAACCAACTAGGCATCAAGAATCTATTGAGAGTGGGATACGAGTTAAAGCAGGACCCGTATGTGAAGTGGTCTACCATTTCAAAGTTGTGTCAGGCTGCAGAAAAGAAATCAAGAGTGAGTTCGTCTTACGGTGAGTTCCTAGCTGAATATAACACTCGTCCCTTTTCGATGAAGGGCAACGATAACGGCATTGAATTTCCCCTTCTTGACTCAAAGGTCTCAGAGCTAGTAGCTCAATATCATCATCCAAGCTTCCATGCAGATGGCCACCAGCTGTACTCTTACCTGCCCGTGATGACAGAAAACCATGCTCGTAGGTGTGCCTGGGTTGACTGCAGTGACATCAGAGCCCTTGGATACTCTATATTCAACATATCCTTCCCGAAGAATAAAAGAAGAGATACGGTCCTTGAGCATGCACGGAGAGGCCAGAGAATAGTCCCAACGCCCATCACATTACTAAACGAAGACCCCCTGTCACTGGCTGCTAAGGAACTACTTGAACAGATACAATCTGTCCGGCTCTCTTCCGGGAGCGAAAGCATATATTTCTGGGTATCATATGCTCTACTTCGCATTTATTCGGATGCGGAACACTCTAGTCTCCCAAAACCAGACGCCATTATCAAGTTCTTCAAGTTCGGCTATATGGGATGTTCTCTAACGTGGGATGACCTCCACCTGCGGGCTCAAGTGCTATGTACCCTCTACTCTCTTCGTATGCTTAAACAGTTTCTGCAGGTTTCACTGTTTACAGGCGATGCTGAAGTCCAGAGAATAGGAAAGCCACTTTTAGATATGTTGGTTGAACTCCCTCCGCTACGCATATTATCCGAAGCTGGAATATGGCTCAACTCATGTACGGAGAAGGATATGAAGTCGATGTCAGATACTATAAGTACACTGTTTGAATGCTTGGGTAGTTCTCAGATCCCTGTTTCGGACGCAGATCTGGAGCAGGAGGAATCTGGAGATATCAAAAAGGATACCCCGAACCGGAAGAAGAGGAAACGGGAGAAGAGGACAACAAACCCTCCAGCCGTAGCGCGGAGGCGACAAGCCTCTAGCAGTAATATGTATGATATTCTGCAAAGTACCTCTGATCCTTAGTGAACCACATTTATCCGGTTCAGGGTATGAAGATATTGACAGAGGCACGCTGTGAGATACTGAAATACCCATTGATACGAGGGTTTGGATAACCGGAAAAGTAAGAGTTATCGCTATGAATTGCCAAAATATATCTTTAGGCTTTACCAATCTGAGATCCTTCTGTAAACCTGACAGGAAGGAAAATCCATACACCATCCTAATCTCCATTCACTGCTGGGTAAAGCATATCTTCATGAGCTATCCAGGTTAGGATCCATTCCAAGAGCGAGTGCATACTGAAGCTGAATAGCTAAAGCTTCATCGTCTGCTTCTTGCTCCCGCCTTCTATCAATCTCTTCCTGATAGCAAACTGGATCTCTAATATCAACAGCTCCGCCGGGTGGCACTGCATTGTCTGGTATATCCACATAGTTGAACCACGGACAATCGCAAGTCTTCCACTTTAACCCACAGACAATACAGAACTGCGCTGTGCATCGACAAGTGATGTGGTTGCAACCTTCCTTCAACTCTACCATCGCAGAGCAGTTATAACAGCGTCTCCAGCCTTCTTGTTCCGCAATCTCGACAAATTGGATAGACCCTTCGTCCTGCGGGCAGTCTTCATCTTTATGCCATTTCTCACCACAGGTACAGCAGACCATTATCTTACAGCGACTGCAGACTCCGTATCTACGCCTACTGGCACCACGGGAGCCTGTAGCTCTATATATATTTGCTGGGGGTATCCATTTCTCACAGCCCTTTGATGGACAGTATATCCGGTTCTTAGTGGTATATTCTCTAAACTTTTGGTTCCACTTCAACTTGAACTTGAGGTCGAATAAGTTTTCAACATGTTTCAGGGGTATGTGATCTGACGTGCAGCACCGCGGAGGCATATGCTGTGGGTCTGTGATGGAAAGGGTGAATGCCCGCCTTAGACATCCGTGGCATATTCTATGTGAGCAGGCAAGCTTTGCTGTTTTAGAGGCAGTAATATCATCAGACATGCAAACAACACATGTCACTCTGCAAAAATATTAGTATTGTAGATAGTTACGTGGCTTGTAGCGGAGGATCTGGATTGCGTACTGTCTCTCTGGTGGCAAGACAATCCTAGGATTGAACATTCTTATCAATAACGGCGACGGACTGCTTCTTCTGCCATCATTTATGGGACTAGCAGTTGGCTTTTGGCCAGGGGTTTTAGTAGGGTGCGCTCTCTCCTTCTCCTCAGGAAGAGGGCGGACTCTTGTAGAGGCACGAGCACTATGAAGGAGTTAGCTCTTCCAACCAACACCAATATATATGGATATTGACTGATTGACTGCCAGTCT